ACATTTTCAAGAGGAAACTAGATTGTTTCCTCCAAGGAGTGCCGGACCAACGGGGCTGTGGTGGGTATGTGGGCCTGCGGCCCGCTCCAAGCAACAGCCTGGTGGACCAAACTCTCACAAGTCAAGCCTGGCCTCGGGCCGGGCTTGGGGAGTAGAAGAACTCCCAGAACCCCATCAACCCGGTATATGTGGGCCTGCGGGCCGCTCCAAGCAACAGCCTGGTGGACCAAACTCTCACAAGTCAAGCCTGGCCTCGGGCCGGGCTTGGGGAGTAGAACAACTCCCAGAACCCCATCAACCAGGTATATGTGGGCCTCCGGGCCGCTCCAAGCAACAGCCTGGTGGACCAAACTCTCACAAGTCAAGCCTGGCCTCGGGCCGGGCTTGGGGAGTAGAACAACTCCCAGAACCCCATCAAGCAGGTATCAACCAAGTAATACATTAGTCATGAATATCCACACACACACAGTCTGTGCAAGTTTAACTCTTTGTTTCTCTTACCTTCTAATATTTGTTCTTCCCTTTCTAGCCTTACCTTTTTTTCCCCTCCTTCCTTTCTTCCTTTTCAAGCCTTACCTTCCATTCTTCTCTCTCTCTTCCCTTCCTAGCCTTAGCCTTACTTTTCATTCTTTTTCCTTCTCTTTTTAGCCTTACCTTCCATTTTTCTTTCTTCTCTTCGTAGCCTTACCTTGTCTTCTCCGTCCCACTTTCTAGCCTTACCATCAATTACTCTTCCATTACTTAATAGTCCTATCTCCCAATATATTGTCAATTCATTAGCCTACACCTATAGGCTAGCCTACAGTATTCCTAACATTCTAACACATTTTGTTAGAATTAAGATGCAATTTTTTTTTTCGGAAAGTCTCCCAAGTCTCCTTGAAACCGTCACTTGGTCAGTCCGTTCTCTCTCCCTTTACCACTCCGTAAAAAAATAGACTGTTTTACCTAATCAGCAACACACCCTTAAGGCCGAAGCACAAGAAACGTTAGTATTCCGGCGCTTTCATTTTTATTAACACGTCGCATTTTGAACGGATTGGTCGAATCAGGAAAATATTGCGACGCGTTAGGTGCGCAGACAGGTTGCTTTTGGCAACCCCTTTCCAAAAATCGAATAGTCTATGGGGGCCTGACGGCTGAGTGGACAGCGGTCGGGATTCGTAGTTCCTAAGGTTCCAGGCTCGATCCCCGGCAGAGGCGGAAACAAATGGGCACAGTTTCTTTCACCCTGATGCGGCTGTTCACCTAGCAGTAAATAGGTACCTGGGAGTTAATACAGCTGCTACGGGCTGCTTCCTGGGGGATGTGTATATAAAAAAAAAAAAGACCTTGTTGAGAACCGGGCCGCGGGGACGCTAAGCCCCCGAAATCATCTCAAGATAACCTCGAGATAAATGGAAACTGGCGGTGGCAAAACTGGTCTCCAAATTGGTCTCCAAAACTTCTCTCCAATTTGGTCTCCAAAAGCCCCAAATTGGGACATCAGCTTGGAAAACCCTCATAAAAGCGGTTTTTAAGCTCTCATACAATGACAGCTGCTGTTGTATTCACCTGGTTGTTGTGCTTGCGCGGGTTGAGCTTTGGCTCCTTGCTCTTTGTGCTTGTTGTAACCAGGCACGATTGTCTGCTCCAAGCCCACCAGCCCCGAACTCTGAACTCACTAATTCGAGCCTCAATTTAAACTCTGGGAGCATAATTTCGAACTGTGGAAGCCCCAGCTCGAACACGGTATTCAGAAACACCAGTTCCTGGAACACCAATTCGAACGATGTCTCCGAAAGCCCAATCTTTCTGGCAGGCCATGTAAGGCACCCTTAAGCCACTTTAAAACTATAACTCGTAATTAAGGCTTTCAAGCCAGAATTTCCGGCCTCATCACATACCTACAGGCTTTGAATTACACAGTTCGCTGCTGTAACCCACAACACAACGCCACAGTCCCTGTCCCATTATGGCTCCATAATCCCTGACTACTAATTTTTTTAGCCTTAGGTTCCTGTTACAATCTCCCGAACCCAATTCCACCTTAAACTACGGTATCCGACGTTCAGCCATAGTTTCCAACACACAGCCATAGTTTCTGGCTTTCAGCCAGTTCCTGCCTCTTAGCCACAGTTCCTGGCGCTCTGAACCACAGTTCCGTGCCCTTAGCCACGGTCCCCAGCCCTCAGCCACGGTTCCCGGCCCTCAGCCACGGTTCCCGGCCCTCAGCCACGGTTCCCGGCCCTCAGCCACGGTTCCCGGCCGTCAGCCTCGGTTCCCGGCCCTCAGCCACGGTTCCCGGCCCTCAGCCACGGTTCCCGGCCCTCAGCCACGGTTCCCGGCTCTCAGCCACGGTTCCCGGCCCTCTGCCACGGTCCCCGGCCCTCAGCCACGGTCCCCGGCCCTCAGCCACGGTCCCCGGCCCTCAGCCACGGTCCCCGGCCCTCAGCCACGGTCCCCGGCCCTCAGCCACGGTCCCCGGCCCTCAGCCACGGTCCCCGGCCCTCAGCCACGGTCCCCGGCCCTCAGCCACGGTCCTCTGCCTCGGTCCCCGGCCCTCAGCCACGGTCCCCGGCCCTCAGCCACGGTCCCCGGCCCTCAGCCACGGTCCCCGGCCTTCAGCCACGGTCCCCGGCCCTCTGCCACGGTCCTCTGCCACGGTCCCCGGCCCTCTGCCACGGTCCCCGGCCCTCTGCCACGGTCCTCTGCCACGGTCCCCGGCCCTCTGCCACGGTCCTCTGCCACGGTCCCCGGCCCTCTGCCACGGTCCCCGGCCCTCAGCCACGGTCACCGGCCCTCAGCCACGGTCCCCGGCCCTCTGCCACGGTCCCCGGCCCTCAGCCACGGTCCCCGGCCCTCAGCCACGGTCCCCGGCCCTCAGCCACGGTCCCCGGCCCTTAGCCACGGTCCCCGGCCCTCAGCCACGGTCCCCGGCCCTCAGCCACGGTCCCGGGCCCTCTGCCACGGTCCCCGGCCCTCAGCCACGGTCCCCGGCCCTCTGCCACGGTCCCCGGCCCTCAGCCACGGTCCCCGGCCCTCAGCCACGGTCCCGGGCCCTCTGCCACGGTCCCCGGCCCTCAGCCACGGTCCCCGGCCCTCTGCCACGGTCCCCGGCCCTCAGCCACGGTCCCCGGCCCTCAGCCACGGTCCCCGGCCCTCTGCCACGGTCCCCGGCCCTCTGCCACGGTCCCCGGCCCTCAGCCACGGTCCCCGGCCCTCTGCCACGGTCCCCGGCCCTCTGCCACGGTCCCCGGCCCTCTGCCACGGTCCCCGGCCCTCTGCCACGGTCCCCGGCCCTTAGCCACGGTCGCCGGCCCTCTGCCACGGTCCCCGGCCCTCTGCCACGGTCCCCGGCCACGGTCCCCGGCCCTCTGCCACGGTCCCCGGCCCTCAGCCACGGTCCCCGGCTCTCAGCCACGGTCCCCGGCCCTCTGCCACGGTCCCCGGCCCTCTGCCACGGTCCCCGGCCCTCTGCCACGGTCCCCGGCCCTCAGCCACGGTCCCCGGCCCTCAGCCACGGTCCCCGGCCCTCAGCCACGGTCCCCGGCCCTCAGCCACGGTCCCCGGCCCTCAGCCACGGTCCCAGGCCCTCAGCCACGGTCCCCGGCCCTTAGCCACGGTCGCCGGCCCTCTGCCACGGTCCCCGGCCCTCTGCCACGGTCCCCGGCCACGGTCCCCGGCCCTCTGCCACGGTCCCCGGCCCTCAGCCACGGTCCCCGGCTCTCAGCCACGGTCCCCGGCCCTCTGCCACGGTCCCCGGCCCTCTGCCACGGTCCCCGGCCCTCTGCCACGGTCCCCGGCCCTCAGCCACGGTCCCCGGCCCTCAGCCACGGTCCCCGGCCCTCTGCCACGGTCCCCGGCCCTCTGCCACGGTCCCCGGCCCTCTGCCACGGTCCCCGGCCCTCTGCCACGGTCCCTGGCCCTCAGCCACGGTCCCCGGCCCTCAGTCACGGTCCCCGGCCCTCTACCACGGTCCCGGCCCTCTGCCACGGTCCCCGGCTCTCAACCACGGTCCGCCACGGTCCCCGGCCCTCAGCCACGGTTCCCGGCCCTCAGCCACGGTTCCCGGCCCTCAGCCACGGTCCCCGGCCCTCAGCCACGGTCCCTGGCCCTCTGCCACGGTTCCGGACCCTCAGCCACGGTCCTCGGCCCTCAGCCACGGTTCTCGGCCCTCAGCCACGGTCCCCGGCCCTCAGCCACGGTTCCCGGCCCTCTGTCATGGTTCCGGACCCTCAGCCACGGTCCTCGACCCTCAGCCACGGTTCTCGGCCCTCAGCCACGGTTCTCGGCCCTCAGCCACGGTCCCCGGCCCTCAGCCACGGTTCTCGGCCCTCAGCCACGGTTCCGGACCCTCAGCCAGTTTCACTGGCCTTTGTTCCACAGTTCCCTGCTCTTTGTCAAAGTTCCTGGCCCGTATCAGGTTGGTAGCTCTCATCCAATTTCCAAAATCAAGTTCTAAGCGAAGTTCTCATGATTACTAATACCGCATCGGTCACTTATTTATCCAGATTTCGAAGAGCTAAACCTCGAAGCTTAAAATTTTGCATTTAGATTATTATACAAAAAATACACAAATTGTTGAAGTGAAATTGTACATCGTAAGTGACCCCCGCCTGGTCCCAAGACGCAGCCACAGTGGTACAAGGTTTGTGGTATAGCCACCTAGGCTATAACCACACCTTTTCTGCCTCAAGGTGTGGCACAGCCTAGGTGGGTGTGCCGCCCTTATGTGGTGCGTCGGGGGCTTGCGGATCACTGGTCTTCAACCAACGTGAGTCACTGATAATGAAATGTTGCCAAAACTCCAGCCAGCAGGGCTCAACTAGCTTACCAAAAACGGCGCAAGTCGGCCACACCCAAACACCCAGCAATAAGCCATTAGCGAAAAAAAATTACACGACAAAAAAAAAAAACAGCAACCACAGACGAAATGCAACGAATAACGAAATCTTACGTTTGTAAGACACATTCAACTTTAAGGAAAGCATTAAAGCATGCACACATGCGATTCTTACCTGCTATATAACTTGAAGGTGGTAGTGGGTGGGGGTTGGGAAGAGAGGTGGTAGTGGTGGTGGTGGTGGTGGTGGTGATGCATGGTGCCCGCCCGGCCAGTGTTTGCAACACCACTCGTAACCCTTCACTCTCCTGTCACCTGCATCTGCCCACAGACTTCATCATCAGGAAGCAGAGGAGTGTGTGACGGCTGCAGGTAACAACAGCTGTAGCTGCTGCTGCTGCTGCAGGAGGAAGAAGAACAGCCGGTACCGTTTGTAGGAGGGAGAACAGCTGTAGACGATGTTATGAAGAACAGCTGTAGTGGCTGTTAAGGATGGAGAACAGCAGCTGTAATCAGCAGGACTAAGAGCCTAGGCGACGCGGGTACTTATGCCGCATAAGTAACGACGTCGATGAACCGGCACGTATAGGTGTGCATTTTTTGGTTACATAGCCTCATGCTGCTTGGACATAGTTCAATCCCTCTTCTGAGTCAAAGGTTGACATTCTTCAAGAATATGTTTCTCAGTCCTCACTACTTTGAACAGCCTGAGAGGTCCATAACTTGACCAATTCACCTATGTGTGATGTTGTATGTATGGAAGATCCATATGGACATAGCTGTAAAGCCAGAGACGGGAGGAACTTTCTAAATAATATTTCTGTCTTTCCAGAGTCCAACTCTGCCATCAACTTGGGGTAATTCCGTCTACCGTCATTTTTTTCTCACTCAGCTGAGCAGCTGTTACACCTGGCACTGAGCCATCTGTGCAACGTGGCAGCCAACAGCTGGTGGTAGTGGTGGTGGTGGTGGTGGTGATGGTGGATTTCTTTCAACTATTCAACCCGAACTCAAACTGTCAACTTCAAACCTGTTACTCCTCGTCTTGATCGGGTGACCGTCTATCATTTATGATAACTTGTGATCACCTTGAGATGCCTGCCATCTTGGTGTGGTGGAGGTAGTCCCCACCACCTGGCTCTCTCAGCTTGTGGGTGACTGTGTGGTGGTGGTGGAGGTCAGGGTGCTCACCATCACTGTGGTGGAGACAGAGTGCCACCACCAACAGCCGGCCCCCCCAGCTGTTGGTGGCACCCTTAGGATGTACACACAGCTGCCTGTTGGCGTGGCATCTTGTGATCCGGCCCTGCTGAGAGAGGGCCAGCTGCTGCTGCTGTCTCTCAACAGCATCTTGGTGAAGCAAGCTGACGACAGACATCTTTGTGGACTTAGGCGCGGGGGAGAATTACAAAGGTGGCAGAGTCCGTGTACTCAACCACACCGGTGCGTGCTGTGCACACTCTTTCTACTACGCTCAGTTGTACTCCAATGGTCCCAATGTACTAAAATACCGCACGAGTTTCCAAAGTATCTTTTTTTTGGGGACTTAGAATTTTTTTTGCAAGGGAGCGCTTATGTTAGTCGGAACAAAACTCTGGATAATCTGATATAATCCGCTGGCACTTTCCAAGTTTTCTCGCAGTTTATGATTATTCCTGTTAAAAAAAAAATGACACTTGTTCTCACAACAGCGAACTTCACCACTTCGAACACTTAACATCCATTTGCGAACAAAGTCCAAATAATAGCTTTAAACCGCTGGCTGCTTCTTGAATCAAGTTTTGTAGCTCGGAGTCGGACATTCTGTGGGTCCTGGGGTGAGAGACTTTGCTTCTGTGCTTTAGGTTGAACCGATGTGTAGTAGTACCGGTTCTATGGACTTGAAACCGGGTGGAAATTTCCTCAACTTGCTCGTAGACTAAGTCCAAAAACCGCGAGGCAGGACTTAATTCTGTCGAAACCCTTCGGCCGATACCGAGATCGGACACAAAATTCGTGTTGCGGCTAATGAAACAGCGATATGCATCGAACGCTCACAATATTTCAACGAATTTGGGGAATTTTTGTGGACTTAGTGACGAGAGTGAGACAGAGCGGGACGGAGGGAAGTGTTGGCGAGGGAGAGAGAGAGAGAGAGAGAGGGAGGGAGAGAGAAGGCGCGCGACCACACTCCCCGGTGTCCGCATCGACACTGACTTCAGGTCGCTTGAACTGCCGCTCCGAACTCTTCGCCGGCCGGCTCTCACACAGTTGCCAAAGGCTGCGATACACAGAGATTAAAAAAAAAAGTATCCACTATGAGATAATTATTTACTAGTTCTACTCCGCCACAAATTAAAAAAAAAGAACAAAGCCGAACTTTTCATTAATGAGGGAAAGGAATCACCTACCCCCCCAAAAATAGTAATAAGCGAAGGGTGGAACTTACGTAAGGTATTAAAGTTGGAACAATGACGAGAGATCGTTCAACTCTCGTAGATGGTAACACCGCGCCTGCCACACTCCACTTTCTCCACACTCACACCAGACAAAAACATTATTTGTTCCATATCTTTGTATTCATGCTCAACGCAACCAATGCCGATATAATCCACGCAGACGGGAAAAAATACAGCAGTTACTCCGTTAGTGTTTAATCATACGAGAATTTTGTTTTATTTCCAGTCTAGCAGATTAATTGGGAGATTCAGCTTAGTTTAAAGCAGATGTTCACAGTTCGTAGGGAGTGGATGTGCTGTATATATATGTGTGTGTGGTGTGTGTGTGTGTGGTGTGTGTGTGTGTGTGTGTGTGTGTATTATTTACACACACACATACACACACGCACGCGCGCGTACACAAAGAATTTCCAGCGTGACTAGTATAGTCTGGTTTGAGAGTGTTGTGTGTCTTACCTATTCACGCTTATCGACTTTCTTTTTGTGTGTGGCCAGGGGATTACCACAATGTCCCCGGCCTCCCAGCTATCAGCAGAGATAAGTGTTCTGTCCTCCACTCACACAGTGTTCTGTCCTCCACTCACACAGTGTTCTGTCCTCCACTCACACAGTGTTCTGTCCTCCACTCACACTGTGTTCTGACCTTCACTCACACAGTGTTCTGTCCTCCACTCACACAGTGTTCTGACCTTCACTCACACAGTGTTCTGTCCTCCACTCACACAGTGTTCTGTCCTCCACTCACACAGTGTTCTGTCCACCACTCACACAGTGTTCTGTCCTCCACTCACACAGTGTTCTGTCCTCCACTCACACTGTGTTCTGTCCTCCACTCACACAGTGTTCTGACCTTCACTCACACAGTGTTCTGTCCTCCACTCACACAGTGTTCTGACCTCCACTCACACAGTGTTCTGTCCTCCACTCACACAGTGTTCTGTCCTCCACTCACACTGTGTTCTGTCCTCCACTCACACAGTGTTCTGACCTTCACTCACACA